GGTGATCAGGGCCTATTGGGGGCCATCTTACCCAGTCCTGTTGGGTGGAGCTGCTGGGTCTGCCGGCCGGGGCCTGGGGGCCTGCCAGCTGCCATATAGGGCCTGCTGGATGGGGCTGGAGGGACAGGGGGAGGGACTGCAGGAGGTTTGCTGGCCAGGGGGAGGGACTGGGAGAGGTTGGCTGGCTGTGGGAGGTTGGCTGTGGGAGTGCACTGACCACCAGGGGGCAGTTTTTGCATTGAGCATCTGCCCCCTGGTGGTCAGTGCACATCATAGCCAGCAGTTGAGCGGCCTTAGCATATTATTAGCATATTATGCTTTGATTGGCTGAACAGACAACTGGACGACTGGACACTTAGCATATTAGGCTTTTATTATATAGGATACTTTGCCAATATTTTCTCCCATTCCACAGGTTGCCTTTTCACTTTGTTGATTGTGCTCTTGGATGCATAAATGTTCTGAAATTTGATATAGTCTGTGTGTTTTAACTTTGTAATGTGTGCTTCTGGCGACAGATACAAGAAATCACTGCTACATCAATGTTATGAAACTTTCCCCTATGCCAGCGGTTCTCAACCTGTGGGTCATGTCCCCTTTGGCGGTCAAATGACCCTTTCACAGGGGTCACCTAAGACCATCCTGCATATCAGATATTTACATTATGATTCATAACAGTAGCAACATTACAGTTATGAAATAGCAACGAAAATAATTTTATGGTTGGGTCACAACATGAGGAACTGTATTTAAAGGGCCAGAAGGTTGAGAACCACTGCCCTATGCTTTCTTCTACAAGCTTTATAGTTTTAACACTGACATTTAGATTTTTTATTTATTTTGAGCTATTTTTTGTATATGATGTAAGGTAGGGATCAAACTTTATTCTCTTGTGGATGTAGTTTTCTCAGCACCCACTTGTTGAGAAGACTGTTTTATCCCCATTAGCACCTCTAAAATCACTTGACCATATATATGAGGGTTTATATCTGCTCTCTCTATTTTATTCCTGTGGTTTCTATGTTTGTTGCTAAGCCAAGACCACAGTGTTTTGATAGCTGTAGCTTTGAAATCAGGAAATATGCAATCTCTCACTTTGTTCCTTTTCAAGATTGTTTTGACTGTTCAGGTCCCAGGAGATTCCATGTGAATTTTAGGATGGAATTTTCCTATTTCTATACTAGATGCTTGTGGGATTTTGATAGAGATTGCATTAAATCTATAGATTGATTGGGTACTATTGACATCTTAACAATGTTGTTTTCAAGTCTCTGAACATGGAATGTCTTTCCACTTGTTAATATATTATTTAATTTCTTTAGCAATGTTTTGTAGTTTTCAGTATACAAATTTTTCACCTCCTTGGTGAAAGTTTATTCCTACATATTTTATTCTTTTTGATGCTATTGTATATAGATTTATTTTTAAAGTTCCTTTATGGATTGTTTGTTGTTAGTATATGAAATGCAACTGATTTTTGCCTATTGATTTTGTCTCTTGAATCTTTGCTGACTCTGTTTATTAGTTCTAACAGTGTATATGTATAATCTTTAGAGTTTTATACATGTAAATCATGTTGTCTGTGAACAAAGAGAATTTTACTTCTTTCTAATTTGGATGCTTTTAATTGTTTTTTCTTGCCTAATTGCAGTGGCTAAAAGTTCTATTACGACACTAACTAGAAGAGGCCAAAGCAGGCATCCTTGTCTTGTTTTATTGACTCTAGAAGAAAAACTGCCTTTCATCACTGAGTATGATATCAGTAGTGGTTTTTTATATATGGTCTTTATTATGTTGAGGTAGTTACCTTCTATTCCTAGTTTTTTGAGTGTTTTTTATCATGAAAGGATGTTGAATTTTGTCAAATATTTTTCTGTATCAAATGAGATAATCATGTGTTTTCTCCTTCATTCTGTTAATGTGATATATTGTGGTGATTGATTTTCATATGTTAAACCATCCTTACTTTGTCCAATAACAAATCCCACTTGATGGTGGTGTGTAATCCTTACAATGTGCTGTTGAATTATATTTTCTAGAATTTTGTTGAGGATTTTTGCATCAGAATTCATCAGAAATGTTGGTTTATAGTGGTTTTGTTTTTTCTTATAGTGTCTTTGTCTGGCTTTGGTATCAGAGTAATGCTGATTTCAAAAAATGAGTTAGGAAGGATTATTTCCTCTTCATTTTTAGGAAAAGTTTGATGATAACATGTGTTAATTACATTTTAAATACTTGTTAGAATTCAACAGTGAAGCATGAGGTCCTAGGATTTTCTTTGTTGGGAGGTTTTTGATTATTGATTCAATTTCCATTACTAGTTATACAATTTCTATTTCTTTATGAGCAATTCTTGGTGGACTGTCTGTTTCTAGAAATTTATCTGTTGTATCTAGTTATCCAATTTATTGGCATACAATTTTTTCATAGTATTCTCTTATAATCCTTTTTATTTGTGCAAAATCACTTGTAATGTCTTCTTCATTTCTGATTTTAGTTATTTGAGCGTTCACTCTTTTTTTCTTAGTCAGACTTTCTAAAGGTTTGCCAATTTTGTTGATCATTTCAAAGAGGTGTGCATGTATATGTGTGTGCACCAGCACAGCAGACTCAAAGCTCTTTACCTGGTAACTGTGGGGCACCATCTACTGGTCGAACCTACTTGCTCAGCCTCATCTTAGACTCCTCGCCTTGATTTTTTTATTTTTTAAAAAAATATATTTTATTGATTTTTTACAGAGAGGAAGGGAGAGGGATAGAGAGTTAGAAACATCAATGAGAGAGAAACATCAGAGAAACATCGATCAGCTGCCTCCCGCACACTCCCCACTGGGGATGTGCCTGCAACCAACGTACATGCCCTTGACCTGGACCCCTGAGTCCGCAGGCAGACACTCTATCCACTGAGCCAAACCGGTTAGGGCAGTTTTGTTGATTTTTGAAAAAAGGTCTTTTTTGATTATCTTTGCTTTAGTCCCGTGGTTCTCAACCTTCTGGCCCTTTAAATACAGTTCCTCATGTTGTGACCCAACCATAAAATTATTTTCGTTGCTACTTCATAACTGTGATGTTGCTACTGTTATGAATTGTAATGTAAATATCTGATATGCAGGATGGTCTTAGGTGACCCCTGTGAAAGGGTCGTTCGACCGCCAAAGGGGTTGCGACCCACAGGTTGAGAACCTGCTCTAGTCTTTATTATGTTCTTTCTTTTGTTAGCTTTGAGTTTAGCTATTTTCCCCTAGTTCTTTATGGTGTGAAGCTAGGTTGGTGATTTGAGATATTTCTTTTTTTAAATGTAAATGCTTAGAGCTATAAATTTTCTTAGTATTGCTTTTATTGCATCCGTAAGTTTTGGTAAGTAGTGTTTTCATTTTTACTTGTCTCAAGATATTTTAAAATTTCTCTTGTGATATCTTCTTTGACCAAGAGGATTTTCCAGGTTTTCTTTTGCAACTGATTTCTAGCTTCATTTTAATGTGATTGTACAAGCTACTTTGTATGATTCCAATCTTTTTTTTTAAATACATTTTTATTTATTTCAGAGAGGAAGGGATAGGGAGAGAGAGATAGAAACATCAATGATGAGAGAGCATCATTGATCGCTGCCTCCTACACACCCCCTACTGGGGATTGAGCCCACAATCTGGGCATGTGCCCTGACCAGGAATCCAACTGTGACCTCCTGGTTCATATGTCAACTCTCAAACACTGAGCCATGCCAGCTAGGCTGTATGATTTTAGTCTTTTAAAATGTATTAAAATTTGCTTTATGACCTAACATATGTTCTATTCTGGAGAATTCTCCCTTTGCACTTTAGAAAAATGTTTATTCTGCTCTTGTGAGTGCAGTATTCTGGTATGTCTGTTAGTATAGTTGCTCTGTAGAGGTGTTCAACTCTTCTGTTTCCTTTTTTATCTTCTGCCTGGTTTTTCTATTGATTATTTAATGTGGGGTGTTGCTTCTCCTACTATATTGTGTTCTTGTTTCTCCCATTACTTCTGTCAGTATTTGCTTCATATATTTAGGAGCTCTGATGTTTGGTGCATATCTTATGTAATAAAAGGCTAATATGCAAATTGACTGAATGGCTGAACGACTGGTCGCTGTGATGCGCACTGATCACCAGGGGGCAGACGCTCAACTCAGAAGCTGCCCCGGAGCGCTGCTCAGCCAGAAGCTGGTAAGCACAGTGGCTATGGCGGGAGCCTCTCCTGCCTCCAGGGCAGCGCTAAGGATGCCCGACTGCGGGGAGCGAGCCTAAACCGTCAGTTGGACATCCCCTGAGGGATCCCGGACTGTGAAAGGGTGCAGGCCGAGCCGAAGCCACTGCCCGTCCCCCCCTCCCCCTGCCCCCTAGTGCACAAATTTTGTGCACCGGGCCTCTAGTGTATTTATATTTGTTATACCTTCTTGGTGAATCAAATTGTATTTTTTTGGCCAGACATTTTGCATTTATAAAGTCAAATATGATAATCCTTCCTTTTATGGGTTTGGCTTTATTTTAGGCACTTCAATATCAAGGAATAAATTAACCAGTGCTTTCTTCTGAAGCATGTGTATTTTTATATTTTAACATTTGCTCTACCCAGAGGTCCAAACACCATTATTTAATGTGACTTGAGCCTTTAATATTCTGAAATAGTTGGGTCCCCTAAATAAGTGCAGACCCCTAAACTCTCTCCCTGTTGTGTGGTCTGCCTGGCTTAGCCTTGCCTCACTGTTGCCCTCTTTTCCTACCACTCTTCTACCAAAGTCTAAGTAGTTAATTAGGTGTCCCCACCCATCTCCAGTCATTGCTGGTTGTCTATATATATATTAAGTAAATTATGGTTTCAGCCAAAACTTTATGCTTGCCAACCACAATGCCAGGCCAGTGTAAATACTTAATCAATATTAAATGGATACAAAGATGCTGTGACCTGGATTCCACACACATCCTGGGGATGTGAAAGGAGACTCAGAGACTCAGGGATTTGCATGTCACACTCAAGCTCGGGCCAGTTTATCCATTCTTTAATATCACCAAGGGAGGGAGCTTGGCTTGGGAGTGAAGGGCTGAACCCAGAGAGGCAGTTACTTTTACATGGGATTTACCATCTTTCCCATGAAGAGAGGCATGTTGGCATTTTCATCCATGATGATGACTAAGAAGGGCCTGTTGAACTTGATGGTCAGATGCTTAAACCTGTGACGCTCTTCCGAAGGCATGGCACCAGAATGGTCATGCCCACTCTCATCGATGGTCAGCACAGCCTTGTGCAGCGCCTGGAAGGGAGAGAGCAGAGGCATGCTGGGGCAGAGGCAGCCTGCGCCGTCCTTTACCCAGGCCTTGGAGCAAGGCCAGATATGGGGGAAGCTGTGCTGGGGGCTCAAGGAAGGGTCTGTGCAGAGGCCCAGTGGGGACCTGGACCTTTATAGCATTTCCTTGATTGAAAAGCAAAACAATGACAAACAAGCAGAATTGCCAGCTGGGTGTCTGCCATTGGAGCATTTTATTAAAGAACCACTGGACTCACAACTTGAATCATCATGGTGTGGTGGGAAGAACATGAAATGGGGTTCCAATCCATTTCCCCCCACCAGTTAGCTAGCTAACTAACTAACTAACTAACTAACTGTGCCAACTCAAGGAGATGAATACTCTTCTTGAATCCTCGCTTTCCTAAGTGGGAAAATCAGAGCTACATGATATGACCTCCTAGGGCCACTAAGTGCTTTATGTGAGAACCCCAGCCAGCGTAGGTGCTCCATAAATGTGTGCCTGTGTTAGAGGTGTGCATGTATGTGTGTGTGCCTGTGTTAGAGGTGTGCATGTATATGTGTGTGCCTGTGTTAGAGGTGTGCATGTATATGTGTGTGCACCAGCACAACAGAGTCAAAGCTCTTCACCTGGTAACTGTGGGGCACCATCCACTGGTCGAACCTACCTGCTCAGCCTCAGACCATACTCCTCTCCTTTACCGTTCCTTCCCCAGGAGCTGCTCCCTTCCCTGCACCATACTCAGTCCTCTCTTATCACCTGCCTTGTCCTTCCATCCAGGCCTCCCTTGCAGGGGACACCAGGTCCCCCCACCCCTGCAGGGGACACCAGGCCTCTCCACTTCTCAAGGCCTTTGCGACTCCACCTGCGCACCCTCACGCCTCCGGACCAACATTCTCATCTTCCCTGCAAGCAGCCCCACCTCAGGAGGTAGAAACTGGACTTGGACTTTCTGTCCCTGGGCGTGTCTCTTGTTTCTCGTGTCCGATTGTAAGGTCCTTGGGGACCGGGGCAGAGGTGGGGACCCTCCTAGTGTCCAGTCCACAGTCAGGCACTCAGTTTGTAGCCAGTACTGAGCCCAAGTTGTTTCTTTCAATTCTCCTGATAAGTGGCATCTTTAGCCCAAATCACTCATTAACTTGGACTCCCTGATTCATCAATAGCTCCAATGTCACAGGAAGGGAGGAGGGGGCAAAATTCCTTTGAAATCCCTGACCCTCGGTCTGACTTTGTAAATATGGGTCCATCGAGGCCCAAAGAGGAGAAGACCCTGACCAGAGATGAGACAGAGGGTCAGTGACATCGCCTCAGAGGACGTCCCTAAAGGGCCAGGACAGGAGGCCACCCCTACCTCGGGCGCCTGAGCACGTCCCAGTCTTGGTGAGTCCAATGGCCTTCCCCAGAGACCTCAGTCTGCGGGGTGTTTGTGCCCCTTCGTCCCCTCCCCTGGGCTGCAGCCCGCACACATTCTGCCCTGTGGACACCAGGGACAGGCTCACCTTGGACAGCTTCAGGGGAACTCCCTCGCTGATCCCCGAGAGCTCATGAAGACCTTGGTGATGCCGCCTTCACCCAGGATGGTTTCCAGATCGTAGGTTCCAGAAATGGACAGTTTGGGCATACTCAGAGTGGCAGACCTGTCAAGATGGTTAGAAAAGAAAGGAATTTCACAACATGGAAAGTTTTTCTTTTCTGGTCATTTCTCCCACTTGGCCCCTGCCTCTCTACCCACAGGCGGATGGCGGTCATTATTGGTTTGTTGTATTTTTAGGTGCTCTACCCTGTCAGAGAATGTCAGAATGATGTGGGTCCTCTTATCCTGAAAGCCTCTTAAATGCCACCTCCTCTGAGAAGCCCTCCGGGCAGACGTGCAGTGTCCTTGGGAAGCACTTTGCACACTGCCCTGCAGGGTTTGGTCACCCCCCACCGGGCCTTCGGGGCTGCAATCCCAAGGGAATGTGGGGCATGGTTTCAGGTGTTGAGTGACATTTGCCCAGTGAGTGGGGCTGATTGCTCAGCTCTTGTTTCCCATGGGGACAGGTTGTGGCCCTGAGGAGGTCTGACATGATTCTAGCCAGGAACTTTCTATCCTTTCACTCCACACTCAGCCTTCTCCAGGAAGCGCACCGCTTCCTCTCCTAGTGAGTGAGGTGCTGCTCTCCCCGCGCCAGGCACTGACATGGGGAAGGGGCCGTGTCCCAGCTGGAAATCCCCCAGGACAGGGCTCTGCCTCCTCAGCTGCCGGCACTGTCCCTCTTACAGAGCCCGGCCGGTGCTACCTAAACTGATGCTGGCCTCTGTCTGGAAGCACAGAGTCATGCACGAGGTGGGTCCCCCTCCCCTGGCCCAATGGCCAGGCCCGACGTGGCGGCTACCGGTCAGCCCTGGGCTGGGAATCACCGTATGTCGATGTTTTTGAAGATCCTGGCCAGGTGCTTCTGGCAGACCTTGGCCTCCAGGTACTGCATCTTCCCCTCGTCGGGCAGGATCAGGAAGGCGGGCATTTGGCCCCTGTAGTGCTGTAGCAGCACCCAGGAGGAGAGCGCCTTGTCGTGCAGCAGGTCAAACCTGCCCAAACGGTGGGTCATGGGCACCCTTATCGTGGTCTTCTTGTCCACGTGGAAGTCTTCTGCTACAAAGCCCTCAGCCTCGAATTTAACCTTCCACTGGCCTGGAGAGAGGTGAAGGTGCAGGTCAGCCAGGAGAGGGAAGGGTTAGGTACCTGTGGCAGAACACAGGAGCCCGGTGTGAGAGGGCTCTCTCTGAGCCTCAGTTTCCCCGTCTGTCAAATGGAGCTGAAAGGAACCTCAGCTCACTGACAGGACTTCAGTGGGGAGAAAGCCAGACTGGAGAAGGGTCCATGTTGTCTATATTGTAGAGGCTCAGGGGTACCAGCCTGGCTGGGCAGAGTAAGCATTTGAACTTGTATTTCATGCCTGTTTACTAGTAATGGAGGGTTGCTTGGAAGGGGCTAAATGAAAATGATTGGCATCAGTCATGCTTGGCAGCTCCTTGCCTGAGTCTCCCTGCCCCTTGAATCGGGCTTCTTAACATTCAGGGAAATCACCCTTGTTCTTACTCTAATGGCCTTTCCTGGACCAACATGTGAGACGCGGAGGCCTGGGCATCCCCTCTGCTATTCCAAGAGACCATCACCATCCTGCCAGGTGAGAGCACACAGGAGTCTCAGGGACCCCTGAGCCCCTTCCTCATTGGATGGAAGGTGGAGACTGGGGCTGGACAGGGGACAGGACCCGCCTGGAGACCCACAGCTCAGCTGGGGCCCAGGATGTGCTGACTCCGGGCTCGGCGCTCTCCAGGGCATTTTCTGCCCCAGGTCAAGGAGCCCACAGAGAGAAGGAAGCAGCCCCTGACCTTGACTCTCACCACCCTGCCCCAGGCTGTTTCCAGGGACTGTTCCAACAGCCTCAGAATGTGCTCTGGGACACACAGGTCTCTGGCATTTTCTTCACTCCGAGGGAGGAAGGCAGGCTGAGAGTCAAGTTCAGTTGAGCACCCACATTGTGAGCCTGTAGTCCCATGTTCTTTGTAACATGCTACTCCTCACAGAAACCTGGCAGCAAGGGATTATTAGGTTCATGTTCCAGGTAGGAAACTAGAACCTCAGAGAGGTCAGAGACTTGCCGAGAGCCAGACACTGACGGTGGTGGGGGCAGGATTTGAACCCCGTCTTTCTGACTCTAGAGCTGCCACTCCTCCCACGACACTAGAGTGGTCCAGGAGACCTTCTTCATTTGCAAGGTCTGCTAAAGTGTGTTTGCCTGGCTCTGTGTTGTGTGTGTGTGTGGGGCACACTGCATATTGTACCTCTGTCCCTGGTGGGGATTTACGAGGCATGTGGAACAGGCACAAAGGCTCTGACACGTCCTGTAGGGAAGATGATGCTCTGACTGCTGACCCATCGCTCGCTGACCTTATTGATCAGGGGGCGTTTCTCGTGCTTGTGTGGGGAGAACGGAATCCCCCTGCCCAGATGCATAGTCACATGGCATCCTGCACCGCCCAGGAAAGCTTAGGAACTGATGTTTGAGAATGTTTTTGGATATTTCTATGCGAACCAGCTCAGGCTGGTGGTAAAACCTACCTTGAAAGAAGATGTAATTCGCCAGAGCAAGAGTTGTGTCTTTGTCAAGCTCTTGGACCAGATCTACAATTTTTTCTTGGCTTTTCATCTCTATGTAATCATTGACCTGTGTATTGGCCTTGGTGTCTCTGAAGTTGATGGAGAAGACATCTGTGTGGTACAGCTTCCCGACATCTTCCAAAAACTTATCCACCAGCTTCACACTCTCATTGACAAACAAGATGTTGGCAGTGATCAGCTGCAACTGTCTGTCTGGCTCAGTGAGGGTGTGGAGGAGATGCTGTAAGCCTGTGTGGATGTCAGCCTCAGGTACCTTCTTCAAATTGAAATGTAATCCCTCCAGGATCTGGGTGTGAGTGTCGCCCTTGGCCCCCAGGGAGAGCATGGCAAAGGCTGTAGCGATGCTCACTGGGGAGAAGAAGATGTTGGTAGAGTTGGACTGATGGGCCACCTGACGGTACAGGCTGAAGGCGAAGTTGGCCAGTTCCGGTGTGATCTTGTGGACAGCGACTCCATGGAGACTATCAGCCAGGGAGGCAGGGGCCAGGCAGCACAGGCCTGCCAGCAGGAGGAGGCCCCACGTGACGGAGGATGGCATTGTCCTGCGAGGGAGAGAAGGGGCATCACGCCCAAGTCAGGCCACACAGTGAGTCCCCCTGGCCCCTGATTCACACCATGTAAAGCAACCAGAGTTTATTCAGCATCTACCTCGTGCAGCCCTGTGCCAGTGATGAGTTCTGCATCCTCATCGGAATGACTCAGAACAATAGCTAAGACTTGCACAGTGTTCCCAGGTGCCGAGCTCCTCTCTGAGCACTTCGCTCGCACATCTCCTTGCCCCCTTATAGCAGTCGTAGGATGCAGGTCATAGGCCAATTCTCAATCTCCAGAGGAGGAGACCAAAGTGCCACAGGCTTAAGTCACTTGTCCAAGGTCATAGAGCAAAGAAAGGAGCATGACACAGGGAGTGTGGCTCACGCTCTCTACAGCTACCCTGACATCTGCAGTGACCCTGAGGTGCAAGTACCACAGCTCCTATTTTATCAAAGAGGAAACTGAGGCACAGGACACAGATGCTACATGCACACAGTTACCCAGGAAGCAGCCAGATCTGCCTCAGCGATGACTGGATATGGAGCAGCCCCAAGGCGGCTGCCATGGGACTTAGTTATTTAATGGGCAGAGAGGCTGCTGCCCAGAGAGGGAAAGATCTTGCCCCAGGACACACAGCCAGAACACCCCAGAGCTTTGAGGAATCCCATCCTGCCCGGCATGGCCCAGACCCTCCCTCACACCACACACTTCATCCATCTCCCTTTTCTCGAAAACACTGCAGCTTGCACATGTGGGCCACCTGATCCTGCATGTGCCAGGCCTGGGGGCTGTTGGGAGCCTGGTGCTGTTTGGAGGAAGAGCACCTGTGAGCCCTTCACTGGGAGGCCCTCCTGGACATCCATTGTCGGAAGGAGTGTCTCCTTATCTTCACTTTACAGGATGCCAGAAAGTGAGGCTTGAGAGGGTTGGTGACTTGCTCGCGGCCATGCAACTGGTCAAGCAGAGCCAGGACAGACAGGCCTCTGGCTTCTGGTCCCGCCCTCTGTGCAGGGCGGGGTCACCTGCTAACTCTTCCCAAGCTGGAACCTGGCTGCTTGTAGGGGTCGGGCTTACAAGGAGTCAGTGGCTCAGTGCAGCTCCAGGAACACTGGGGGCAGCGAAGTCCCAGGCCCCGGGCTGTCCTGGGCGGCAGCCTCCCAGAATAACCAGCCCTCAGTGTGACAGCGGAGGGCTCTCCAGACATGGCCAGGGTCTTCTCGGGTGAGAAGTGCCATGTGGAGGTCCCCGGTGGGACAGGAGGGCCTCAGGGCATGAGGCTCCTTGGGAGGCCTCCTCCCTGGTTAGTCATTTCTTATTTCAGGATGGATTTGTGTCACGTGAGTCCCCACTGAGATTGCTCCTGGGGGCCAAGGTGTTCAGTAGACCCGTGAGTTTGGGGCGTTCATTCTTCTTGGGTGGGGACCTTGTCTAGGGATCCCAGGGTTCCGCAGTGGCAGGTTGTGTCGAGGCCTTCAGGAGATGCAGTGAACCTCCTCTCCTGCCCCCCCCCCCCCCCCCACTCCCCCCCCCCCGGGGAGCTTGGGCACCCTTCTTCACTGGGAACTTAATGGCAACATCTCTACAAGGCTAAAGGCAACAGTCTCCGAGTGTCAGGGCTGTTCCCACTAAATAGTCACATGGCCACAGCCCCTTGAAGCCATTCCAAGCTGGCCCCACGGCGAGTCTCAGGTCCCATCCCCCACATGGTCAGCAGTGGACTCACCTGCCCACACGGGCAGGACCCACCCCCACTTCACTGGGAACTTAATGGCAACATCTCTACAAGGCTAAAGGCAACAGTCTCCGAGTGTCAGGGCTGTTCCCACTAAATAGTCACATGGCCACAGCCCCTTGAAGCCATTCCAAGCTGGCCCCACGGCGAGTCTCAGGTCCCATCCCCCACATGGTCAGCAGTGGACTCACCTGCCCACACGGGCAGGACCCACCCCCAGCCCTGGGCTCAGGTGACAGGGCCTCAGATGCTGCTTTCTGCGGTGACACAGGGTGGCTGGGGGGTAGGGGGTGGTGTAAGCGAGTTTCTGTTAGCCTTGGACAGGCCTGGGTTCTGATTTGCCCCTGCCCTTCCCTAGCTGTGGGCCCACATTCTCATCTCTGAGCTTCCCCTTTAAAGTGAGATTGCTGGGAGAAGTGAGTGAAATCAGCCTCGTCATCAGAGCTCACAGCCAGAAAGAGACCGGCGATCCGCTCTGTGGGGGAAGAGGGTCGTGGGTTTTGCAAAGTAAAACCTTTAGGATCCATGAGGGGCCAACCGATATCAAGATGGGCCGTGAACCCAGATAAGAGAGGGGAAGAGGTGAGAGAAGAGGGTTATCTCAAGAGTTAATGAATACCCGTCAGCCTTCCAGAGATCAAGGTCAGCTTGGTAGGGGAGGAGGTCGGGGCCAGGGAGCAGAGGGGAGACCACGGGCCACCCTCCGGAAAGTGGGAAAAGCTCATCAGGCATCTGCTTTCTCCAGTGAGATGGACAGGGCGTGGAATCGAAGGGAAGGTCAAGGTCTCTGTCTCTGACTGAGTTTTAAAGGAACCAGATAAGAAAGAAGACTGAGGTAGAGAAGCTGGGCAATCAACAAACAGCAAGTGCTGGTGAGGATGTGGAGCAAAGGGAGCCCTAGTTCCCTGCTGGTGGGGGTGCAGACTGGTGCAGCCACTGTGGGAAACAGTATGGAACTTCCGTTTGACCCAGCGATCCCACTTCTGGGAATATATCCTAAAAACCCCAAAACTCCAATCAGAAAGAATGTAAGCACCCCTATGTCCATAGCAGCACTATATACAATAGCTAAGATCTGGAAACAGCCCAAGTGCCCATCAGTAGATGAGTGGATAAGAAAGCTGTGGATATCTACACCATGAAATACTATAAAAAAAATTGAAAAAAGAAGCAGGGCAGAGAATGGGGAGGGGGAAGGGGCTTCCAAGGGGATGGGTCCCTACCTTGGCAGGTGGGAGAATCCCAGGTGATGCCACCGAGGCCACAGGGAGGGGATGAAGAGAGAAGTGGCAGAAAGCAGCTGTGCCCACAGCACTGGTCGTCTGAGGGGAGCGAGCCCACAACTGCGGAGCAGGACAGAGAAGGCTCACTGACCCGCTTCCCATCCTGACCCAGCAACTGCAGCCCAACCTGCTGCGCCTCAGTGTCCTCCTCTGTCAGTGGAGGTGACCATCGTGGCACCCCCAGCGCTCACCCTAGTGCAGCTCTGGAGGAGTTTGTGGGAGGGTGACACACTCAGCACGTGGAACTCACCTGCTTTCCAGAGAGCCTCGCCAGGCTGGACTCATCTCACAGGCTGCCCCAGTCTCTCAGGGCTTCACCTACTTATAGGGCATCTGGGGGTGGGGATGTGAAGTTCCATGGCCCAGTAACCGCCGTCCCCCCCACCCCCCCATCGTGCAAGAAATGAGCCTGGGAGCCTTGAGCGCTCAGCCAGCAAGGGCCTGATACTATCGGGGCCTTGCTGTGCCTCCCTGAAGCAGCCTAGTCTAGCGGAGCCAGCATGTGCAGGTCACCTGAGGGTGGGGTGGTGGGGCCCGTGGTCATGTAAGACCAAAGGGCCGTCTTTCTTTGATGCCCACCTCACAGATCTGTGGAGAGGAGTAAATGAGGAAGACATACCCAGAGCCTGGAACTGTGCCTGAGACATGGTTGACCTTCAATAAATGTCAGCGCCTGAAGTCACTGGGCTTGAGGCTGCCAAGGTGCCAGGCCCAGGAAAGCTCACGTCGGGACGTGGAATCGGCCTCCAAAGTGCATTTATCCAGGTGGGAGGGAGATCACAGACACCACCAGGTGCCAAGCCTCAGTGTGACCCTGTGGAAGAATGACACTGGCCACCCTGAAAGCATCAAGGCCTCAAGGGACCTTAATGTTCCTGTTTTGCTAGTTAGAAAACCAAGGCTCCCGGC